ATTTTTTTTTTTTATTGCCGTGTAAGCTATAATCAGCTCAACATTCTCCACCTTCGGTGCGAACACCAGGACACACAGATTTAGACCTGAACCATTAGAAGCAGATCCCATATCCATTGAGTGTTTTGCATGGGAAGAGAGGTGGGAACAACTGTTTTCCCAAAGCTGCCTGTTCTATGGAGGAGAAAGACTGGAGAATCCACACACTTTCTAAAGGCTGCTGCACAGCCAAGAAAGATATGGCAGATCATGCGTCTGCACTGCTCCCAGTGAATATGGTCCCATAAGTCCAGCCCAGGTCTCTCCTAGGAGAGCTTCAGCATCAGTATCTTTTCTGATTCTTGTTGAGGGATGGTCTTAGGCTTTCTATTTTCAACAGGACTAGGTAGCACACAAGTACCTGCTTTGGTAATGCCATCATTCAGGCAGTCTTCCAAGTTCAAAAAGGGATGAGACAAATGTATGGATGATGGGTAATAGCCATTGAAAAGACAAGTTGGAGATGTTTCCTCTGGCATCTCTAGACTAATAATGGTGGATGCCAGGGAGGGTATAAAATAGGGGATAGACCACTCTAGATATATCCAGTTCAATGCTCTCCCTCTAAAGCAACCACTCCTGCCACTGTTGGAGACAAGATAATGGGCTAGACAGAACATTGGTCTGCCCCAGTATGGCACTTATGCTCTTATGTTCCAGTCATGTAACCAGAGTACAGCTGGCAATTCGGGACTGAATCACAAAGTTTTAGCTTTCTTGCTTAAATGAAAGACCTTAAAAAAAAAAATCACTTGAGGAATAACAGAACTTTTAATTTCTTTAAATACTTTTCAAGACAATGAATTACATTTATGTAAACTGGCCTCAGAACATCATTAACTGTTAAAACTATTCAACAGAAAAAAATTGCCCAACTCTAAATATGATACCTTGAAGGTGAAGAAACCAAATTCTTGCAGTATTCTGTGAGTTATTGTACAATACTGTTAGTATTGTAACTGGCCCTTAACAGTGCCTCTTCTGCCCTCTCCCCCACTATGTCCTGACCCATCCTTTCAATTCCAGACTGGAAAAATCTATCCTCAAAATATTAGTGTTTGTTATTGTTGCATTCATAAAACTTACCCTAGTCCTGTACTGACTTCAAGATGCTGTTCAGGTCCTCAAGGTCAATGAAAACTTTAAGATGAACATAAAACCATAGGTTTCAAAAGTTGAATAGCTCACTTTTGCTTTCCACGAGACAGGCACATCCAAAGTGAAAAAGCAAATTAATTTAGTGAATATGTAAAATTATATTACTTTTAACAAAGGAAAAATTAAAGAAATATGTCTTCTGTAAAAAAAGCGATATAGAATAGATATTTCTCCCAGCTGTTTCATTGTTGTGAAGTTAAGCATAGTTTTTGTTTCCTTGCACATAAGTATTACATACCATATCAAAAGAATCATAGATGAACACTGACATAATGGAAATATTTAATTTGATTAAGGCAATCTAATGAGACAGAACAAAAAGCAGCCATTTGAAGGATGGCAGCTTTAAGCTTCAGGTAAGATACAGCAAGAAAAAGGCAGAGATTACTCATTTTAAAAAATGTTTACAATATAGGATTAGAATATTTTTTTCCAAAAACTCTGTTCATATCCACGTGCCAAAGAATAGTCTATTAATATTGATAGCAAATTATAATGATACTGATAGGATTTTTTGTGTTTTCTGATGATCTGTTTTCACAATGTATATAACATAATTGTTTTCCCAGACAGCCTCAATGGAATGTTGCTTTTTTGCATACAGATGGAAATTCAATTGATGCAGTTTTTTGCAGTGTTTCTGCTGGTTCACTCTGAAGTTCCATCTAAGATTTTTCTGTGGAAAAAACTGGATATACTATAATACAGAATCAGCAGAAAGAAAGATATGACCCTAAAATTTGAGTAGGGAAATAATGAGAAATGATTGTCTAATGGCTATGAAGAGACATAGATAATCTCTTTGTTCTCCCTTTCACCAGTGTGTGCTACTTACTGGTGAAAGACCAGTTGGTTTGAGAGAGGAGAGAGGTAGTTAGCTAGCAGTATGAAGTCAAGCAAAAGGCAGAGTTGTTTTACACCTTATAGCCTAACGAAATCAGATATAATATAAGCTTTTGTGAGCCTGAGCTCACGTCATCAGATGCATCTGATGAAAGACTGGATTTATGACATTCTTTAGATTCATATGCCAACTGATAATGCATTTAACCAAGTGAGCCTGGGCTCACTAAAGCTTATGCTATACATCTCTGGTTTAGTCTATAATGTGCATTCAAGCCACTTTGTAGCATCCTTGATTTATATTATAGTTGTGTGCAGGTCCACTGAAATCAGTGCAATTCCACTAGCCTACATCAGGACTCAAGTGGGGCTAAACATCTCTAGAAACTGTGGACCTTGCAAGAGAAAATTTCTTGCCTTAGTCTGTATTTCCTTTGTGTTTCTCAGGAATAGACCTGAAGAACAAACATTTATTCCATCTAAGCTCTCGTTTTATATATACACCAACCCTGAAAAACTTAAAGGTTAAAATAATGATTGGTCTAGAACAATGTCCAGACAAATTGGTCCATGAGTTTAGTCAGGGTGATCCCTGGTGTCTGAAAATACCAAAATGGAGGCAAATGATGCTCAAACGAATGTCCTTAGTTAAAAACAGTGATCATGGTCAATCCCAGTCTTACTGGTGAGTGTGCCATTTGAAGTGAGAAAGGTTACTGACAAAACTGTGAATATCACTGGTCAGTATAACTGTAAGAGATGGTGACGGTGACACAATGAATCCATAACAATGCTTAACTCTCAGCTAGTAACTTCTGGTTCTTAATAGAGTATTCTAGTGCATTGCCATTCTGCAGTAAGTCCTGTTCCATCAAAAAGTTATATGAGTACTGCTGAGATTCAAAGTAATGGTATGTCCATTTTTGCTGGTACTATGCACCATCTTGTGGCTAGCAATAAAACATCAGAATACCTTCCAAAGTATCCCTCTTCTTATTAAGTGTTTTTCCTACTAAAAAAAGGGAATGTATCATCTGTACACACAGATAAAATACACTTCTGCAGTGCAAATAAAATACCTGCTGGATTGGCAAACCAAATACCTTGTGCACCATCAAAAGGGAAGGACATTATTATAAACCAAGCATGTTGGGTGCAGGGCCTGTAATGCATACAGATTGCTTCCCTTCTCTGCCTGTAACACATGGATAACATAGGACTCATCAACATAAAAGGAACATTTTCAAGTGTCTAGGATAAAATAGACCTTTTTAGGTTTAAAATAGGCAAAAATAGCCATGAGTGGCCTGATCTCCATGATACTTTCTGCCCCAAAAGATCTTTGTTATTGGTTATTATACCTACTGTCTTTTTCACAGAATTCTTCAGCTACATTTAAAGAAACCTTAAGAGAAGGAATTAAAGTTTCATCATCAATACTGACACCTTCCAATAAAGATGACCTAAAATACCCTCACATTAACAACAGACATAAAAACTGCATCTTTAATATGGAAAAAGTTATTTTAATTATGTTCCTTTAAATGCATATTTTGATTCACATAGGAAGGCCTTTCTCCCCTGCCTCAAAGGGTTAATAATCTTAGGGAGAGATTTTATTTCCAAAGGAGGATAAAGGAGTCAGTTGCATAAATCCGAATGATTTTTAAATGGCAACTGCATCCCATAGCCTCATCTGAAAATCCCAACTAACATTTCTAATATGAATATAAAAATGCCAATCATGCCATAACTGTTTGCTGTAGGAATTCTTCCACCAAGGCAACTCTTAATGGGCAGCTCAGAAGCAGAGTCATGGACTACCGGGATCAGTTGTCAGTTCCCATATAGCAATTCCTATGTAGGCTTTAGGTGAATATCCATCCTCCTTTCCTCATCCCCCATGAAGGTACTGGAGTTTTCAATGGCCACAAACCTAGTTCCTGATACACATTCTTGCTCTACACTAAGGGCTGTGTCACACATTCACTTGCAATAGCTGCAGATCACTGAAATATAGGGACCTATTGAAGTTAACATATAGTAGGAGATAGCCCTCACCTAAAAATTCTGCAACACCAGGAGGGTACTTACCACATGCTAGACTTCTTGAGCATGCATCTGCTCCCTTCTTAACTGCACTTAGTAAGTAAATAGAACATGTGATGCCACCCTAACACTGGTCAAGCTTCCCAGAATCTATGCTCCTAAGTGCACAAGATTTCCACAGTAAAACTTCCCATCCATGGGCAGTGGTCCCACCGAATGGGCACATCTATATGTGGGAATTAATGCACAGCAATAAACTCTGACATAGTTTGCACCGGAGTTTATTGCTCCCAGGCACCATGTTTTCATGTGCACCTGGGACCACAGCATGTTGAGCCAGGTCAGAGCAACCCTGGCTGGAAAGGGGCCCTTGGGATCAGCCTGCCAGCCTGAGCTTACTCTAACATGGCTCAATGTGCTGCGGAGGAGCTGGTTGGGCCACGAGGGTGCTTCAGTATGGAGCTGGTCAGCAGACAGCCTTGGGTCTGTCTTCTTGCACTGAAGCACCCTTGTGCCCCAGCCAGCCCCATCAGCATCTACCTGTGTGTTGCTGTAGAGTAAAACACTCTGCCATAGGGTAGCACTTGTATTTACAAGTACTAACCTGCAGCAAAGTGAATTAGTTCACTCCATCCTAATAGCATGGCACATGTAGATATTGGGACATTTACTGCACAGCTAATTAGGCAACTCCACAGTAAACATCTCCCATAGATGTGTCCAGTTAGGTTCTTCATTTGGTCTTCTTTACTTGTGGTCATGGAGGAAGGTTTTGTCCCTAGATAAAACACATCAAGTCTATTGCACTTCTCTAAAAATACTGAATATATATTTGAGGTACGCTGTACCTCAAAACATACTACAGATGAAGATGTTACAAGTTAAAAGCTTCCTGTGCTCAATTTTAACAGAGAAGATGGCACCACCACAGATTGGGCCCTCATCATCCATAACTGCACCACAAGAAAGTGAAGAGCAGCTGAACACAAGGATGATGGCCAAGAGAGTGAAAATCATTGCTGAATTAATGCAGACAGAAAAAGACTATCTCAATGACCTGGAGCTGTCCATCAGAGAAGTGGTTCAACCACTGAGAAACAAAGAGGTGAGAGAGACAGTGATTTTTTTCAAAGGGGCAGGGTGGAATATTGACAGAAAGGTCTGAGTACATTGGCACTGCAGTCGTCCAAAGTGTCTGTCATGAATGCTTTTCCAGAACTGGCTTTTTGGAGAAGGGCCTGAGGGATTCCAGCAAGGAAAGCAAGCAGGAGCACATGCATGCTGAGTGTGCAACAGGTTGTAGCAGAAAAATGTATGAATGCCACATACCACGGTTATATTCCAACACTACAGTCCTCCATGTTGGCCATTTGTCGCTACCACAGCTTAGAGCCAATTTATATCAGGTATTTGTCTTAAGCCACCTGAACTGTGGATATAAGGTTCCATGTGAAACAGCTTAAAACACTGTTTGGCTGTCAGAGCCAAACAATATTTTAACACGCTTGCTTATGCCAATACTGTCCTAACCTCATTTCAAATATTACATGTCCTTTCTCTGTAGCCAGTCAACTTCCTTACAATTTAAACTCCAGCAGAAGTTTGATGCCTTTTCTTGTTTCTAAAAGCTTCCCTTAACTAGTTCCAACCTACATTGTCAAACTTGGCATATATGCCCTAGCATATCTACACTGCTCCTCTGGCAAGTCCCAGAGCTCCTCTAAGAAGTATATCTAAGAAGTTTGTCACTCACACCCAGTCTGTAGGTACTAATGCACCAAAATCAGGCATACAGTGGGGCACATCTACATGTGTATTTGCTGCGGCACCAATTTACTCGCTAGTAAATTACTCACAAGTGAACAGTGCTGGGCAGGTGTCTACACATTCAAGTAAGCGGGAGCAGATTAGCTGCCAATCTGCTCCCATTTCCCAGGGCTCTGCAATGGGCCTCTGCTGCCACCGGCATGGGGGAGCTCCAGGCTCTGGCTGCAGCAGCCGGCAGCCCTCTTCAAAAGTCAGCCCTGTTTGCTGCTCTCTGGCCAGCCACTTCCCTGGGCAGAAGCAGCGTGCCCAGCACAGGGACAGCATGTGGCAGTGCTCTTTTCACTCCCTCAGGGAGGAGCTGGCACTGTGGGGCTGCGGAGCTGGTGTGGCAGGTGCTGGCCCGGCCTCTCTAAGCTGCTGGTGGAGGGAACAGCTGGAAAGCTCAGTGGGACAGGCTGCTGGACACCCACAGGGCCCTCCCCTGGTGACATGTCACCATGGGTGCCAGGCTGGGATGTGGGCTCAGGCAACCTGCCTGTGCTGCTGTAAACAGCATGGCTATGGCCTGGGTCCTGGCTGGGGCATGAGAATGAGAATGTCTGTCTGTTGCTATATAAAGGGCATGGATTTACAGGCACTCCCCAACCAATGATTGTGGTTGGTGATGGCAACCCACTGTGCCCACAAGGCCTTGACCTTTATGCAGCACTGCAGTGCTGACCAGTTGTGTCCATGCTTCTGCATCTGTGGGCCTATTCCAGACAGGGAGCCACCCGGCTGCTAGTGGGGTAGAGGGGAAACTAACTCTGCCCCCCGCTGCCTCAAGGGCCATGGTGCCCCCCTGCTGTAGCAGCGAGAGGGGGAGTGCGGGCAGCCCCAGCATGAGTCCCTGCTGGTGGCACAGGGAGGGGGAATTAAACCCCTCTCTGGACAGTTCAGCATGGGTTGGCCTTGCCTGCCAGCACAACTTCCCTGCAGGCAAGGGCCAGCTCTAGTGCCCCCTGCACCTGACCTGAGCAACTGCAGGCATATGCCCGCATTGTCTCAGTCCAGAGAGCATGTTTGTCTTGTTATAAACCGGTTCAGCTTCGGCCGGTTAAACTAACCTGCAAAGGTTGAATCAGTTCAGGCTCCGGCTTTTTGAATGTCTGTCCCTAGCCTTGAAGGCCTGAGGCAGGGGCTGCCACAGAGGCAGCCCAGCCCTGGGGCAGGAGAGGCTTCCAGCCCAAAGCCCTGGGGCTAGCCTGAGGCTGGCTCCTTAGTGGCGGGGCTGACCTAGCCGCAAATTTGCTCCCAGGTTGCGTCTGGATGTGTGTTACTGCACAGTAACTAATTGCAAGTAAATTTGATACCTGCATTTGCAGTTATCACGTTTACTCACAATTGGGGGGGTTTACTGTGCAATAATCATGTACACATGTAGGTGTGCACACTTACTGCACAGTAAATTATGCTGCTGCGCAGTTAAACGTCTCATGTAGATGCGCCTGCTGAGCAGATGTGGCTGGGCAGGGTACGCTTCTCAGCATCATTTGAGAGCTTGACACAGAGTGTAAATATGCTTTTAGAAGATATGCCTTTAGACTTGTCTAGCTCCAGTTAGTTAGCACTTGTCTCCAACCTAAATTATCACTAAGTTATGCTAGTGTTAATGCATAAGCTTCCTCCTCCTAAATCCTGGCATCTGCTTCTCACCATCTGACTGAAAACATATTTAGTTTTGTTTCCTGCTGTCATTATCTGTTATGCCCATGTGCTTACTCTGGCCTTGGTCATTGTATGCTCATATATTTCTGAATTCCACATACACACTATGTTGTGTGAGACATCAGAAATCCACTAATAAAAGAAGGATAATAGCCTCCAACATGAACAAGTAATAGGTCAAAATCTGGCATTTTTTATTTAACACACAGTCTACATTTTGGGGGTGGGGGAGGAGTTGAAGCTTCTAAGACTGTTATATGCTTTTAAGACTATTTTTTAGGCAAATAACTATATTCAAAAGCCATAGAAACTTTCAGGATATGGTGCTTCAACAGGGAAACAGTTAAAGGAAACTAAAAACATCTAGAGATGAATCTGTTTCACATTTCCTAATGGAGCAAGTTTTGTTAACCTCTATAATCAAAAATTAACTACTCTAGTAATTAAGACATACTGTTGATTCTAGTACAATAATATGCAATTCAATTCTCCTGGACTCCTTCTGTGAGCTGCTCTGTAAATATACAATTCTGTTACTAATGAATAGGCATGTTCAGAGGAACTAACATGTCTGCCAGATTGTGCACTGCCTTTGGTTTTCAGTTGTACCACATATGGAGTATCTCTAATTGTTTCATAAACTTAATCAGTTTCCCTTTGTGCATGGAAACAAATGACCAGTATGAAAACTGTGTTTGCCAAAATGTTTTTATTTGCTTGAAAGGAAGCAGGACAGTATTTTGAATAAACATGGAGGCAAGGATTTCTTAAGGTGATATCATTTATTGGATCAACTACGTAGTTGGGATAACGTTAGACAAGCTTTCCAATGCAAGACATTCTTCATCAGGTCTCTGATTACAGGAACCCTACAAATTCATGAAGCGTTCTGTGTTTTTGTATAGCTTTATCCCAACTACATAGTTGGTCCAATAAAAGGTATCACTCTACAAAATTCTTGCCTCTTACATAATTTCTGGACCATCACAGCTAGAAAACATCACTCCTACACTACTAATAAACAAGGACAAATTTTCTGTTGGTATGAAGTGATATAGCTTACTGACACAGATAAGTGATACCAGTTTGCACCAGCAAAGTTTTTGGCTGACATGTTACATCAATGATCTTGATTGGAAATCTGCCTGTTTTAGCCAAAATATAGTGCCATGATTTTACTCCTTGGATTTATCTGTCACTTTACATAAAATAGTCTCTTCTGTTCCACAAAGGCTACTTGCTTATATGGCTCTGGAATAACCAGGGATCAGTGTATGTAACAATTTATGCAGCCTCCACAGGTGATCAAGGGGGTCACATTCTCTCTCCTAATTGCCACTTACAGTTGTTAAGTCCTTTTTATCTATGGGGGAATAAGCATTTTATCTGACTAAAGATCTTTCTTTAGCTAACTGACAAGATTTTCTTTTCTTTAAGACAAACACATTCTCTTTATGGATACATCAAAATAAGATTAAATACATTTGGTAGTAGCCCCATTTGGTTCAGCCCAGTGATACCACTTTTAAAAACTGTGCATGTGACCTTTAAATCACAACAAGGATGTTTACCTGAGCTTTAGTAAAAGTGGCATTTCCTGGAGTGTAGCACACCAGGCTTAGCAAGAGGAAGTCTACAGTATGCAAAGTCCCTTCTTATTGTTCTCTCAATTGCTGCTTAATATTTGTGTTTCATCAGATTGGTAGGTTTGACGTGGATGGCTTGTTTAGCAACATTGAATCAGTCCATCAAATATCAGCCAAACTGCTGTCTTTGTTGGAAGAAGCCACAGCAGACGTGCAACCAACCATGCAAGTAATTGGTATGTTTACTGTCTTCTTGAGTTCTACAAAACTGCATGAAAGGATAATATAATAACATTACTCCATTCCCAGCTCCCCTCAGCCTTCATTTTTTTAAGCTGGTTCCAGTTCCACTAATTTACTGTCTTCTGCAATAATACATGAACATCAAAATATGAAGTTTTTCCGGTATCTGTACTATCCTCACATTAAAAAAGTCTCGACCCTATAGGTCTTACTCTTGCCTTACTTGATTTCAGCAAGGGGGCTTGAGTAAGAGCTGCAGAGCTGAACCCTGACTGGGATCCCTCAGGTACTACCTTTATTATTTTATTTGAATCCACTTTCTAACATCAAGGCAAACTCTCATATTTTCTGTAAGTACTGCCACTCTTTCAGTAAAGACAAACAATACTGAAAAAATAACATTTTTTGAGAAAAGAAAGCATGAAGAAAGCCAAAGCATTGCTATAATTTTGTATTTACTTGCAGCATATTATTCAGCTTGTAGATGTCTGTATGTGCTCTACAGAGCTCTAGAAAGGCCCTGGCCAACAAAGGAAATAAACTTGGAACTCAAGCTTTGTGGAAACTGGCAAGGTATCTCCCCTGCCCTGTAGTTTGTAGACTTTTCCTAACAAATGGACTGTGATGGCATACACCTAACAAACACATTATAGAGTTTGCATATAAATCTGAGGAATGTGTTAAATACACTTTTTGACTGTTGAAGTTATAGACATTAAGGGCCAATTTTGCCTCTGGAATCTTTTTAGCACAATAGTATTGGAGGGAGTTGTTTCGCCTCCATAAGGCGCAACACCTTGATGGGCGCTGAGATAAGAGTACTGAGCTGTAGCACCTGCTATGCTTCTAAAACGTGTAGCCAGTACTTCTTTCTGTGAAACTATGCTCATGCTTTCTGATAGCACCCTTCTTGGCAGTAAGTGCTTCCTGCGAATTATGATTGTCTCCTGAAAAAGTGCAGTGGTAGGAAGGAAGGGGCTTTTTGTGCTCTCTCCCCTCTGCAAAGCCAGCCACAATTTATTCCTAAATATGCAGACAATAGTTGTATTGGGTATCAACTGCAGCTCTGGGTAATACATGCTTATTGGTTTGTATAATTATATATTTAAAAAAATGAAATCTCTTTTCAATTTTGATTTAATTCTGGTAGCAAATCTTTTATTTTCTGCATTGATACCTCACTGATCTGAGAGAGCCGGGCCACAGATTTTTTATAGTAGTCAAGTTTTCATATTAGTCAAAAATGTGTACAACATAAAAATGTGTTATAGAAGAAACATCCCTCTTTATTGTTAGAGTAAATAAAGAGAGGTAACAAGTATTGCTATTCTGTTCTTGATCCTCTGAAAATCTGCCAAGTGGTTTCTGAGTATACAAATAGATTCTCTGCCCAGGAGCTCACCTTCTAGGGGTACTAGAAGTGAGAAAGCTATCAGTTAACAGGATGAAAACTTCAAGGCAGAAATTGCATTTATCTTACTCATTTTTTTAGCATATAACAACGTGATTGGGGCTCTGGACTCCATTATAATATTGGTAACTAGTAAAATGTAAATAGGCAGGGCTTACAATACCAGGTGGGACCTTGCAATTAAATCCACACTCTCAAATCTTTCTGTCCATCAGAATAAGTTCCATGGTCTTCAGTGAAATATTAGGCTTCCCACCATTGTTGATAACTGGAAAACATTGACCTGATAATATCAGAAGTGTCCAGAACATACATTCTTAGCCAGACTCCTACATCTTCCTTGGGTTTTTTCTTTTTTATTATTTCCTTGTCAGCTTCTGTGATTAGGACAAAAGAAGTTTTGGCTGAAGACATAACATTATCCAGTACCTAGCATTTGAAGCACCCAGTAGATTCTCCAACAAAACTGGGGAAGATCAAATTTGGTGCTCCTGATCATTCTAAGATAAAGAATAAGCTAGGGGAAGGGACTAAGAACACTTTCAAGCTTTCTTTATGTTTAATTTAAAAAGCAAAATGTCACAAGCCCATATTTTTTTTTCCAAACCCCTTGAAGGTCCTCTTTAGTGAAAGCTATGCACATAACTTAGGAGAAAGTATATCTCCCTCCCATACTCAGTAGTCATCCAAGAAAAAAAGGATTATCAAAACAAGATTTTTTTTTCTAACCTAGCCACATGCCTGAAATAACATGATTACAGAAGCCTCTTGGGTTCACAAAAGAACCAAAAGAGATGTTACAATTCACCACTTGACTAGAAATATATTTTAAAGCAAATGAGACTTTGGAAAAGTATTAATTTTAGCAAGTCTGGAAAATGCTGTTAGTTGCGTTTCACTGAGCGTACACTATGGTGATTCATACACCTAGTAAGCAATACCGTATTCTTTCTGAGAATTGTTTTCTCTTCTCTGAAAGCAGTATGGACACAAGAGTTATCCATGAGAAGGTATGTCAGTCTTGCAGGGGCGGTGTTGCTGGAGAGGTGCAAAGCATCCTGGGATGTCGGGGAACTGAGTTAACTTGACTCTGAAGGGCATCTGGGACAGAAGTTCAATAAACTGTCTTAACCTAAATCAGTTAACTCTGATACTACATAAATCCAAATTTATCTTCAACCAGTTTCAGCCAGTTTGCAAGCACTGAACTTCTGTTGTGTTACAGATCTGAACTGGTTTCTGATCATTTATACCAGTTTATGAGTAATTTCTGTCCCTAGCCTAGTAGACCAATGGAGCTAGAGAGAAATTCCATTTTTGTCTCTTTAGTCTCTGGGAACAGAGGGTTCAAAATTGTGAATGCTAGAAGTTACTGTTTCTCTAATAAAAGGATAGCATGTGAAGATAATTTTGTCAATAGGGTTCCAATATTCACAGTAAGATTTGTAAAAGCAAGTCTCAAAAGACACAATTGCCCTGGTGAAGAGGAGCAAAGAAAAATCCCAGCTATAATTTCTGATGTTTTAACTCACCTTTAAGCAGCTAGATTCTAAAATATACATTGCATGTAGACCTTTCCTAATGTACTATCTTGAAAATAACCAAGCACAGTGAAGTGGAGCTGGGCTGCTAATTCACTTTCTAACACCAAAAATGAGATAGGCTTTTTCTGAATTAGCTAAGCTTGCACTGGTATAAGGACATCAGTGAAGTTGTACCAGGGAAGGTCCATCTTGCATCAGCATTCACATCAGGCACCAGGACCATAGTTTTAAATTTGCTGCCCTGTTTCATTGAAAGTCTTCTAATTCTTGTAGTAGGACAGGAACCGCCATAGATCATGTACAGCTTGCATTGTTTTGGATACACCTTTCATGTTCCTTTATACTGACTTCATCTAAATTAAATAGTCCCAGTCTTTTAAGTCTTTCTCCTTGTCTAGCACTTTCCATGCCTGTAGTTGTTCTTGGTTCCTATCTTTGGACCAGCTTTACTGCTCCAATAGTCTTTTTGAGATTGAATATCTGCAACTAAATTTAGCATCCCAGGTGAGGAGATATTAGAAGGCATGCATACACAGCACAGTGCAGTGCTGTGCAGAGGTAACTGAGCTTGCTCTTGTTCAGAAGGCTGGGAGAGCTAGCCCAGGCCAAGTGCTGTGCTGATGATGCCAGTTTTTTGGGTATCTGAATATTATTGCATTGTACCTTGTAGACATACCCTTAACAACTTGATATTGTTTTCTGTCACAATCTATGCATCTTAACAACTTGTTGGCTGTTTTAAGTACAGTAGTGCATTGAACAGAGATTGCACACCCTTTCCAGTTTTCCTCCAATTCACTTACTCCTTTATTTTTTTTCTTTCTGTTTATAGAGCTTGGATTTGACCGGAATATGACATTTTAGAAATCTCAATAAGGCTTAGAGATACTGTTGGATTCCATTTTTTTTCCTGCTCCCCATTGTTGTAGAAGCAGGAAACCCCACAGAAAGCTGTGGGGAAAGATTACTCTGCTTGCTCAAACCTTGCTGGGATTTCATCAAGACCAATTTACCAAAATATTCTAAAATGTAGCACAAGAGCAGCAGTCAGCATTGCATTTCCCTGATTATTCAGGTGACCCTGTGAGTTACTGTAAAACCAGTCCCTAAAGACATACTGGGACTAAATAGAGCATACTGAAATCTGCCATAGTGATTTATCTATCCCTAGGTTGCCTAGTTCAGTTAATTTGGCCTGAAACTAAGGCGAACTTCAAAGTTTAGGAAAAGGGCCTTGGTCTGAAAGGTTTTGTACAAAGTAGTCCATAAATTCTGCTTTAGCAACAACATAAATGATTGTTAATTAATGTGGCATTGTGGCACACCATACTAAACAACTGATCTTGTGGGCATCATATACTTTAGGGGCATAGGTAATAATGTTGGTTCTAGATGGAAATGTATGAAATTGAGCTGTGTGTCTGTAGCTTGCATCTGTGTTGCAGAAATCCCAACCTCTTCTAAGTGGTAAATACACTAAGGCAGTGGAGCCAACCTTTTGGCATGCATACTACAAATTAAACCCCGTGCCATCCCAAGTGCCACTGCTATTTCCTTCCTTGACCTGATCTGCTGTGCTGCTTTCTGCTCCCTGCCCAATATACTGCTTTGCTTTCTGCTCCACACCTTGTGCTCCTCACCTGATTTGCTGCTCTGCTTTTGACTCCATGCCCTATCTGCCACTTTGCTTCCTGCCACCTCTTTGATCTATGGTGTGCCACACACACAGGCTGCCCAGGCCACTTGTGGCAGGCATGTCAATGGTTGGCCACCCCTGTTGCACAACTCACAATCTGTGGGGTGTATGAGGTCCACCAGAGCAGTCCCAGGTGCCCACTATAATAAATTAGTTTATTAAATAGTAAAGAATTTGAAAAGCAAAACAGCAAGTCCTGTGTCCTCATTGCACTGTAGTTCATTAATCTGTGCATGTGCCTGCACATGCAGTTTAGTTTCCCACTTGCAAATGTGCTGAGCCCTTATGGCAGTGATCACCAACCAGTGGATCTCAATCTACCAGTAGATCTTGGAGCCTCTTGCGGTAGATCTCAGAGCTTCTTGGAGTCGATCAGAAGCTGGGGTAGGGGGCTGAGTGCCTGTGTACATGTATGTGCATGCCGCAGCCCAGCAGGTCAGTCTGTGGGGTTGGGAAGGGGTGGGGGCTAGATCGAGGCCTCTGTGGTGAGGGACAGTACTGCAAAGGCAGGAGCAGGGATAAGTTGAGTGGGGCCCCCGGCCAGGTGGGACTTACCTGCCGGGGAGGCACACCCCCAAATACTTTTTTCTCCCTCTGCCTTGATCCCCCTCCCCTCCCGCCTTCCCTCCTAACAGACGTACCTGCTGGGGGGGAAGGGTGGCAGTGGTGCACGGTAGATCTTGGGTTGCTTTTAAATGCCAAAGGTGATCTTCTACTTAAAAAGGTTGGAGACCACTGCTTTACAGGGTGGATCCCTCCACTGGAAAATGGTCATCAGTAAAGTTTGAGCTATGCCCTCCTGCACAATGGGCTATGCTGAGTACTTGCAGTACCCACTGAAGTCAGTAGAAACTGTGGGTACTCAGCATCTCTGAGAATAAGATCATATGGGAACAGGACCTGGGAAAAACATGTTAGAGTTTCCTTTACATTGTTGCATAATAATAGCCTCTACAAAAGTTATGGAACAGTCAGGCTGCAATGAACATGGCTAGCATTACCATTTACCATAGAGGACACAAAATAAGAAATGATGAATGTGTTAAGTACCACTGACTACAGGATTCTGGGGCATTTCTGATTTGTGGCCTGATAGTAAGTGAAATGAACTTTGGTCTTAGCTCCAGTCACTATTATTCCCCTATTCACACCTTAAAACCAACCTGCATTAGACAGTCCAGTTAACCTCCACTGCTATGGGAAGAAACCCTGAGCTGTTACTGTGGTAACTGAATCACTTTTCACTTCAAGACAGAGCAGTTCATGTAATGTATTATGAGATGCAATGCTGCAGTCAGGCGGCAAGGCAAAATGTATAGTCTGTCTGACAGCACAGTGCTTGGTCTGTGAATGAATAGATGGCTCCCAATTAGTGTGTTGTTCTGTTTTAACCTTAATAACCATTGCTGTAACTCCAATCCTGTTTACAAAAGGAGGAGCATCTGATATTTTTATACAGGTGTAACTTTTTAATAGAAGCTCAACACAGTAGATCCCACTATTATAACCATTATTATACTATATACAGTTCTAAGGTGCCACTATACTATATACAGTTCTTACCACTGAATGGAGTACAGTCACATAAGGATGAAAGAATAGGAAAAAAAACCCTTCAGCCAAACACTGCTTCTCCACTAAACTTAATTTCCCTTTATTACAAGAAAGCCCAGCTACGGTATTTCAGCTGGGATTTTCAAAGCAGGTAAAGACAGTTAGGCACCCAAATCCTACTGCCATTCAGTAGGAGATGGGTGTGCAACTTTAAGCTCCTTGGAAAAACCCAACTTTCGGTCTCACAAGAAAAATGATATGTGGGGAGAAAATGTAAGCATGCTATTTTCTTCCTATTTCCTGTTGGGTCACACGTAAACTGAAATGCTGAATAATAATGACTTCAACCCACAGCGTTTTTTTGGTTTGGTAGGGAGGGGAGGAGTCTTATTTTTTTTTTTTTTTTTTT